AGTTTCACTTTTTCGTTCCATTTTTTCGTTCCACTTTTTGCTGAATGACACTGACCGTAAAATATAGACGTTTTTACATCAAAAAAACACTACCATTTGTACATTACTCTATTCATCTCATTCTCTCATGAGAGAATTAACCTTGACAATATTTGTTATCTATTTATTAATGCCACAAAGACTTTACATGGAATAATTAATTTTCTTCTTCTTTCACGGAGGACAAAGACTATAATATACGCATTTTCATTAGTTCAAGAAAATTATATATGTGCATAGGCCTATTCATTATGTAAAAAATGATATACATACATTGGCCAACATACGTCATCTCAGATCACTGAGATTAATTTACAGTAGACAGATTCCACCTTCCCCACAGAAGCCGTTCAGAATATATGTCCAAAATAAGGGATTACATCAGAAACATCTATTAATATGCACTCAGACAATGTTTTATGTGCATAAAACTACATAGTGCCAAACGACAGTGAATAATGAATTGGAAAGAAAGAACCATCAGCTAATTAACGATAATATCACATTATTTGACTGAAGACACTTAATAAAACCACGAAATACCTCACAATTTGTGGTACTCACACTGCCGAGAATTACGATAACTGCTTTCTGGGTTCTTGGGGCATGTGCCCTACTATACTTCTACCGACGTACTATTTTATCTACTATCTTTTAACCAACATCCTGATTAAGGAGCAGCAAGCAGCTCTAAAACGTCGGGTTACACGCCGAAAGTGCAAGAATATTCCTGAGTTATTTAGCCGAACCTTAGATTATCTATCTTATGATAGTCAAATCACGTCAATAACACTTCAGGTGTCAGAGAATTTAACTGCACATCGCGTTTCGTATTTATTCTTATTTAAGCACTAACCTACATCCACTTGTGTGAACTAAGCTGCCGCTTTCAATGTTTCTCGGAAAAAAATTGCATAATACTCTCTCCTTCCAATCGCGCCAACTAAAACCCTGGACCAATGAAAGTACTGCTGATTGGTCTACTACTCTGTGCTCTCCTACCAACCCACAAATTCGATCAGAAATATTTACCTCGTACTTACCGTGTAAACGTATAATCCTAACAATATCAGAGCCAAGAACCAAACCACATTGGAAGGACACAAATAGCTCGGTAAGACCGCAGTGCATGATTGCTCTGGAGACTTTATCTGGAAGGCGATCTTTTCAATGATAGCGACCTTCGGGCAAAGTAGAAACAAGACAGCTGCAACAGCAAATATTACACCATTAATTCCAATACTTAAGCTCGCCTGTTACTGTGGTCCCCCTTCGAAAATGGACACTAATCTCCTCAAAAATTTCCATTCTTTATTTTAACTTGCAAATTCGTCACGACTTCCGCCGCTTTATCACGCAAAAATCAAAGAATATTCTCCTCTGCATCTGAACTTGGTCCTTGGGCATCCCTAGTCTTTCTTATTTTCTTGACCACAGAGGCAGAGTTTCAAACCCAATGAATAACAAGAGGTAAAATTGTGGTTTTGGATTTATAAAACTTTACGAGTGTCTGGATTTTGTTACTGGCAACAAAATTGCAGTCTGACGCAAACGGAATTTGCCACCTCCAAACGTTGTTTGTGTTATTTACACGAATCATTTGTTCTCTAAAGTTGCAACTCATAGTTATTTGAAGCCATTATAGTAATTTAGTAATTTATATTGGCAACGTAGAACTAAATCACTTTTACTTTGTCCTTACAAGATAAATTCCGAAAATGAAAATTTGAAAAGCATTTCGGACTTCTGTTTATAGGGTCGGAATTGATGGGAATGTGACACTTATCAAGCAATGTTCCATACACAATCACATTCTCATAAACCTTTACAGAATATGGTTGCACTCAAACATATTATAATAATTTTAAATATTCACAATTCTACTTACCAATATCTGTATTTCCGAACATGTTTACAACAAAATTATGTCCTCACTAATACAACACGTTTCTAGGGCAATGCAAATAATAACTGTTTATTGGAAACAATGGATTGTTGTAAAACGTTTCTATTGTAATGCTATAATACTTGTTTCCCGACAATGGACTCCAAATAATGACAGCTAGATCAACCACAGCCTACTATATGCATAACTGACTAGATGGCTTACCGAATCAGAAAGTTCATCACCGAATTAACCAAAGCCGTCCTGGCCAACAAAATCCAGTCTACTTCAGCTCACATCTCCCAAATCTCATATCCTTTTTCAATTGCCATGCTCATGCCAAAGAGTTCGTCCTGGCCCGAGGCTTAGTTAATGTGTTCGTAGCAATGTTTTTTTACGGCGAAAGGTAGTTTACCTTACCCCAACCCCCAAGCTGGAGGAACAACCCCTCAACGGCTGCCCACGACTGCTTATTCAATATATTTGCAGCATACCTGGAGGCCGTCCCTCTATCCGCAATTTGAAGACACGGCATGCGGTGGTATGAGGGGACCCCAACCGTACATGGTCAACTATATGCATGTAGAATTAGTCCTCGGGAGTACTGAATTTCCTACATAGGTAGGAAATTTCATGACCAGCTGAATGACTGGGTATTTCTCAAGGGTAGGCTTGCCAACTTCCCAAACGCATACAGCATGTTTTAAGCACAAGCCAAACTCTTACTACAGTAATGTGTGGTACGAGAAATATAACTGTTCCTTTATTGTCTTTGCAGTATTAAAATTATTAATCTTATACTTACTGAAACAAAGAAGAAGTAAAATATTCGTCTGCACTAAAATCATTCCTTACATATGATGAAAGAATGAAACAAAGCACCATAAGGTATTTAATAAATTGAATTATGTTATTTAAGCACTTCCTTATAGCTTTCAATTGCCATTTTTCAGAGTGTATGATCAACAAATGTTTCCATATTTTACATATCCCGAACATAATTTTACAAAGGAACAATCTGTAAATCCAAATTACTTTAAAAATTCATATATTGCAAGATGAGAAAATCTGTGGGAACATAAAATGTACGCAAGAAGAATTTGAGGTTATGATGGAGTGTATATTCTGCATATTTCATTGCCAGGAATGGAGGACATACTACACTCGAGTATCTGTGGACTTCAGATCCTAAAAGAACTTACATATATATTTATTACAATCCATGGTTCCATAAGATAGTCAGATGACAACTGGGTGTGAAAATTGTCATAATAATGCAATATTTATTATAAAGTACAAATCACACTATTATAAAAATTTCACATAATAATAACAAAAGGTTACCCTACAGTAATAATAAGTTACAAATGAATCTAACCATTACATACAGAAGAGAAATTATCAATTATTTGTAAACAATATGTAAATATTACATGATATTCATCGCCCTGATGACGGAGGCAGTATGACCTCTGAAACGTCGGTAAACATCGACCACACTACACAGCGGAACAACCCAGAAGACAGAAATCTTCATACTCACCGCCCTGATGACGGAGGCAGTATGACCTCTGAAACGTCGGTAAACATCGACCACACTACACAGCGGAACAACCCAGAAGACAGAAATCTTCATACTCACCGCCCTGATGACGGAGGCAGTATGACCTCTGAAACGTCGGTAAACATCGACCACACTACACAGCGGAACAACCCAGAAGACAGAAATCTTCATACTCACCGCCCTGATGACGGAGGCAGTATGACCTCTGAAACGTCGGTAAACATCGACCACACTACACAGCGGAACAACCCAGAAGACAGAAATCTTCATACTCACCGCCCTGATGACGGAGGCAGTATGACCTCTGAAACGTCGGTAAACATCGACCACACTACACAGCGGAACAACCCAGAAGACAGAAATCTTCATACTCACCGCTGTGAGAACCTCAAGTCTTACTTGTAGAAAGTTTCGTTAAATCTGAGGTTGAAAATAATAACAAATACACACAATAAGTTACTAAATAAAATTTTAAAGACATTTTCGTCATCCTAAAAGCATTGCCTAGTGTCTCATACAAGTCGTTAATTTCACGAAATAAGTGAAATATATTTATTCAGAGCAAAAGAAGCTTACTAATTGTAACTCGTTCCACGAATATTATTTTTATCTATCATTTCATATTCCAGTTTTGAATAACTAAAATGTTGTAGCCTGGACCAAAGTTATTTAACAACCCCCCAAAAAAATACTTTTCCCAGGCTATACAAGCAAATTCCGGCGATATTAAGTGAATAATCACCTATTAGTCAGAACATTAACTAGTTCGCCTCCAATGAGAAGGCTTCGTTGGAAACATTAATGGGTGTGAATTAGACTGAACAGAGCTTATTGACCAACTCTTATAAAAACAAAATGGGTCTTCATGTTTCACGGCATGCAGGATGCTCTCGGCCACCCCCGCAACTAGCAGTTTCTCAGATGTGACTTTATCCCACAGCATTATTTACTTAAATTTAAAAGGAATGTGTATTATCTTTCTTTAGCAAGTTACTGTTATTTCTAAATATAAAGTTAACGCTATAATATATGCAAAAGTAATGCTTAAAATCCTTATGTCACAATGTAATTAAATGGGCAAAGTGTTCAATCAAACCCAATGCCTAATTATACCAAATATCGTGATCAGTTGATTAGCATTCATTCTTTTCATTCCGGAGGTAATGGGCAAGAAATTTGGCTCAGAGAGCAGCAATTATGATGGATTTGTCCTCGTTTCCAACAGTTTCTTAAGACAATCAGGGGATTGTACCTAAAGTTAGGCCACGACCACTTCCCTCCATATCTTTTACAACTGATTAATTTAATCTTCCTGCCATTCGACAACATTTTTATTTGATTCAAGCCCTAGGGCCGTTGAGGACCTTGGCATTCGGTGCATTTTCCCTGCATTCCTGATGGTCCTTAGACCCTTTCTACTACTTTTTCCCCCACGATTCTCGAATCCTCTTCAGACTCATCTCTACATCTCTTGCGTGGTCTACTGCTCTTCCTTCTTCCTTTATGTCCACGCCATCTCTCTAAAATTTTATAAATTTTGCAATATAATACATAATCTGTATCCTTATTAGTTTTGTTTTCTAGCTTTTTCCATCTTTTATGGGACCACAGATTTCTCTAATCATCCTTTTTTCAACTATTCTAAGGGCCTTAATTTCCTCTGAATTCATTGTCCAAACAAAATAGGGTTCCGATTATCTAAAATCTATATTAAGTCACTCCAAGTATATGTTACGCCACGTCGCATTGTTTTACTCTTTTTCAAGTAATATGAATATTGCGTGTGTTTTACATTCAGCCAAAGTGAAGCGGTTAAATAAATGCTTAAAATTACTTCTAATATCCGTTGTAAACGATGAGAATCTCAGTGTCTAATCACAGGGGAAATCAGGGGGTGGGAGAATCACGGCATTTAAGGTAATGCCGCCAACCAAATTATCTTTCAAACGATTTGAAATGAGCGCGCTCTGCCCTCACTGACATCTCTGGTGTGATCATAGACACAGTCTGGAGTTATTATTGCGGTTGGGGTTGTCGTAGTTTCTTTGAGGTAAAGAAAAATCTCATCTTTCATTTCTATGTTTTAAAGTTAAAAGATTGCACGGAAAGTGTAGCTTTGTGTTCTTGATCCTTTATTTGAAAGTCTGTTCTTCTGAATCTGCAGTCTTATAACACAGTGGGCTCGGGCAGGAATAAATAACGTGTTACGTTAACCACGTCTGGGTTAATGACACTTTCTGGTGCGGTATTGTCGAGGTACCTGGCAGTTGGAAGGCGTAAAGTCTTCTTTCAGCCCTGTCTTATGATCTGTTAACCTTATTCTGTATTTGATTCTATCTCCTACAGATGCTTCGAGTTCCCATTATCATTACAGCTGTCGCATTTTTCTATTACTCCGTGTGTATCGTAACTAAATTCAAGTTCCTAGTTTTGTGTATTTTGTAGTAATATTTTGTTCTTATTCAATAAAATACTTAACAGTACCTTACAAAATAGAGTGAGTAAATAAATAGATCTGTTAACTGAAAGCGTTGCCTGTTTATTCATGGCATTTGAAAAGGTTGATACTTCTCCAGACACATGGCAAAATTATTCGATATATCGGGGCAACTCAGCCAAATGTACTTGTGCAATTTCTTAAAATATCACAAGCAGATCAGAAATCGATACAAAATTCTCAGTGTTTTGCCTTCGTAATGATGTTTTCCTAAACGATGTTCATGAAGCAAAACATTTAATCTTCCCCTGAAGTCGTGAAGACGGTTTCGTAATTAGAAACATGTCGCCACAAGTAGATTTATTTAATACAAGACGTAAGGTGAAACTGCTGTGTGTTGATGGATGGTAATATTGTAGATAAGGTTAAACGTCTCTAAAATAATTAATTTCAATAAGAATTCTTGAGCAGAAAATAAAGAGGAGAAATAATGTTTCCTTCTTTGCTGCAAGCAATATTTCTCTCTACGTTTTTGTAGCTCCTACATCAATTCAAATTTGTACATTATTTTCACAATTAAAGTAATTAAAATTAAATTGTTCGTCGTGGTTGTAATTTAACACTCTTTTACGATTCGCCTTCTTCTTGTTAGCATTTCTCCTCCTTCTTCTTGCACGTTGCTCCTCCTTCTTTTTTTGGTTTGCTCCTCCATCATTTTCTCTCTGTGTTTGTAGGCGTAATCGCTTGCATTCGGTAGGTTCTTGATGACACAAGTCGAGAGAAAGTTTCTACAAACATTCATCTCTGCCAGTTGGTACCTGCAATTTGAAATATTAAAAGTGAAAACAAACCCTCTTTCATCACCCATCAGTATTACCTACACTCAAGACAATTTTAATCAGTTTTCACTGACACAGTTACAAACATTATGTAGCTCTACATGCGATGATGTAGCTCATGAAGGAATACGTCTTCTACTATAAATAATGTATTTACTATAAATTAATAGAAATTTAAGTTGAATGTCGGTGCATTAGTGTAAAGAAATTCTCCATTTTCTTAAAAATATATACACTTTTACATTTGGGGTTCTAAAATACCAGAGATTTGCGTGTAGAATAAGTATAAAAGAATTATTTTTGTGAGTCCTAAAATGTGTTGACCTAAAATAACCGTGTATGATGGGTTTGATCTGTCTTTGTGTACAATGGAAAACTGCTTTAACGAAAGGACACAGATTCCACCGAAATGTCGTTGCTTTTAATTTGTTTCTAGGCAATCTTAACAAAAATTACCCCAATCGGAATGCAATGCACGATTCCCACACCATATTTCAGAACAGTTCCCACGTGATCTTTCTCTTACTCATGCACATAGAACCTCGGCCAATGCGCTATTATAACGTAATACATTTTATTACATCAAAGTGGAGGGAGAGGTTACCACTAATTTAGGACGCTGTCAAATGGCTTGTGTTCTGCGCAAGCTACGTGTGGTACACTTCATAAAACCATTATCTTAGGTCAGAATAATAAATTTAATCATAAATTTTATTTGGAGAGATAAGCGTGTCTTGTTTGAGATATGCGCCCATGAAAATATTTCCCGCTTTTAGCAATTTATTTTCAAAACAAATTTTGTTCTACCAAACATAGTTCTGGAGAGGTTCTGCTGGACATAAAACAGACCTTAACCAAGATTAAATTAATTTCTGTGGGATTTCCTACTCTTACACAAACAGGTATGAAGAAATTTGTATTCTGGGATGTTTTTGGAGCTGCTTACTCACTCCGTCAACAGATTTCAGGAGACTGCGTGGTCAAACACGCCAAGAGACAGCCATTTTGAAATAAACTTCCATCAGAAACGGGAACATGAAACGGTAGGCGTCGTTCAACCTGAAACTGGACTAACACTTTGATGAAAGCCGAAGATTATGGCGATGCAGATGTACTGAACGCGAGAAACGTCCTGCTCTAAGAGAGTGCCACTGATCAAAGAAATTTAGTCAAAGAGCCTCTTACTAATGCAGTTACACACTACGTCTGATTATCTATTAATTTGACCTCTGTTTTAACGATTCAGCTTGATCGCAACGTCGCCCTGCCTGCTTTCATTCTACCCCACTCCTCTCACCCATTTTTCGCGCGTTGTATTCATTGCCCCGAGTAAGCAGTAAGAAACTCTGAAACGTCTGTTAGTTACTACGTCACTATTCGGCGCTGCATCCACAAGATCGCGGTTATGTCGACCGGAAATGATTCACTTCCTAGAGCTTTTCGAAAGTAACAGTTTGTGCCCTGAACAATCATAGAAAGAAACAAAGAAACAAACCATCGATTTTCCTTGTCATGGAAACATGCGACGTGTGAGACGAAATCTGTCCCGTTATAATATCCACTGATGACGAAGATCATATCGTCGATCGCTTCTGTGTTTAAGCCACGTGCATAGAAGTTCATGTAAGGGATCTTGATCCACGTGTCTTCTGCAGCGTCATACTTTTCGGTTCTGATCACGCCTGATGTCTCGTTGAATCCTCCTGCACACATACACACATTCAGTAACAGGTCACAGGATATAAAAGAGCTGTCAAAGTGAACTTATTCTAACCCCATTCAGCGGGACCCTTCTTGATATTTATTACTCTGTCAACTGGCCACGAAATGTTTAGACTTTACGGAGCGACAAGATTCATTACCTTATGCGAAAATAGCTTTCAACCACAAAACAAGATGCACTGTTCAAAACGGCGTTACACGAATAAGTGATGAAAAGCAAAGACTGCGAAGGAACTGCTTTAAACCGTCTGCTTTTTGGGGATAACAGCACGGCAAACTGGAATTTACTTGCTAAAAGAACAAAGTATTTACCTTTAAAACTGGGACTGAAAAATGGGGCATACGTTATTTGAGATACCATAAAAGATAATGCGTTGTTAGTTTTGATAGTTAAATATTCTTTGAGAAGAATGTAATCGAAACCAAGAATCTGGGTTAAAATTATTGACAAACAAACTCTGTTATGACAGGACAAAAATGCTGTTCATAAAATCTCAGTCAGTCAAATAAAACCAGGAAATCATATCACAATAGCAAATTCTGCAAGAAGGACAGAAGACCATCACTCAGAATGTCCATAGTTCTCACCTAGGGCGTACAGACAGCCGTGGTACTCGACGCAGGAAAAAGAGGCACGACGAGAAAGCATTGGTGCAACGAAAGTCCATCGGTTGGTGTCGGGGTCATAAACTTCCACCGAGTTTAGAGGACTGAAAAGATTAACACATCCACCAGCGACGTATATTTTGTCTGTAAAAACAAATTAGCTAAATGACACGAACTGTACACATATTTGTTTTAGGGAGAGCCATTAAAACATGCCTTGCAGAGCACAGACATGGGACAATCCCTACTTAAATTTGTAAATCTATTAAGTCCCCCTTCGAGTCACAGAAACTGCACAGACACGGCCGTCTCTGTTCATTTGTTTCTTTGTTTTGAATGCAGACAAACAGCGTGTCAAAGAAAACGAGTTTAACTGATAAAATTTAACATAAACAGCATAAAATGCTTAAATTAATGCATAATGGAATGGTGGTAAGTTACATCTTCTGTGAAACGGATTTTATTAAATGTGGTGCCAGAGATGTATGGTACGAGCTGCTAAAAGGTGCTCTACATTTATAATACAATGTGCTATTTACATGAGATTATTAACTGTCTCAAAAACATATTATATCTGTATTATAAGAGAAACAGTTTAATAGTTTGATGGTTGTTTACACTCACTCCTAGTGCACGCTAAAAAGGCATAAGACGACGCACAGGGACAGCTTACGAGAGCAGAAGAATCCATCACGCACTCAGAACTTCAAGCCGTTGCAGTCTGTGAAATAACGTAGTCCGTAACACGGATAAAAGAATATGGGACGATGGAGGGAGGGAAACTAACTTCAAGAGCGAAGGGGAATGCCTTGATGATGAAGGCATAAAGTTCGTCCTAAACGTCGGCAGAAGCCAAACGACAGCCATCTTCGTACTCGCCGCCGTAAGAACCTCAAATCCTGAGATTCCTTCAACCGTTCTTGCGTTCTTACACGCGGACAGACAGACAGACGCCTCACCTTCTGCACTAACTCATACACTACTCTTTAACAGGATTTACGTACCATTCAGTGCAGCCGCACTTGCACAGATTCGCCCTGTGTTCATGGGAGCGATCATAGACCACTGGTTCGACTTTCGGTCGTATATTTCCGCCGTTCTGTGAATCACACGACAAGCCACACCGCCCATGGCGTACACTGAACCTCGCAGAACAGCCACACTTAATTTGTATCTGAAACGAAAAATGTACATGCTCTGCTATGCTCATTTATTACTGATTCAGATGCATTTCCACTCGCAGAACGCAATTGTTCGCTCGTCATTGTTGAATCGTAACTCAAATGAATTAACAAGCAAATCGTATTCTTATAACGAACATTATTTCAAATGCCCTCTTACCTCTTCACACTTTGCTCGATGCTCCTGTATGTGAGTGGTACAATTTTACATCCCCTGCTCGCATTTATATTTTGACTAACGGAGCGACTATCAGCTTTTGAAGAAGGACTCTGCTCCAAGGAGTTCCTTAGTTACCGATCTGCATCTTACCTGCATTCATGCATAGGCGCCACCTCGCGGCATGTCTTCGTAACAGCGTTGAAGCAGAAACATGAGCTTAAGACTTCCTCGCCGTTGCAACCACCGACGACGTAAATGTCGAATCCGACTACTGCCGTGCGATGGTGGGCTCGCCGGCCGATCGAATCGACCCCCTCCACCTGCAGGAACGACAGGTTATGTCTTTATGTTTCTTTGGGTCATTTGGTCAATAGATGTGAAAGTCCTTACGTTATAATCCAAGCGACCAACCACCGGAGCAAAGGTACAACCCAAAACAGTGGACCGAAATTGCTACACATGTTGGGAGGCACTCGACAAATACCGTGAGAAATCAACTTGGAGCAATCGTGGATTTATGAGAGGCGGAGGAATCAGGAAGTCCCGAAGAGAAGCTCTCGTCAAGTACGACAGACAAACGTAGAATTAATTTCTGATCAACTTCAGACATTTTAGGTTCGAATGATGGCAAAGACAGATGTTGATGTTTTGGGTTTTATCGACGCGAAACTGGAGGCAGTACGTCCCCTATTCCCAGTGTGTCAGCCTTCTAATTCACGAGGAGGTACCACGCAGATAGTCAATGTCGACATTGATCAGTGCTTCATTTATTACGTTGAAATCCACTGACGAACAACGATGTCTAAGATCAGCAGACAGGTTGCCATGACAGTTGATGTAGGCCTCTTATTGTAAACGATATTTAAGGCAAATTTCACATCCTTCGTCGATTCCTATTAGAACATGAATTGTACATGAGACTTAAAACCTGTGTAATTCATGTATTTATTCTTTTTAATTCATGTCTTTGGAGCTTTTCTTCAAAAAGTGTTCACTGCAATGGAAATAAACGAACACGAAATAAAGAGGCTAAGAGGTCCTTGTGATTAAATTTAAATAAACAATTACTTAGTGAAAATAAGGAAAAGTAGTTTCTCTCATAGGCGTCATTTAACAACCCACGGTAACAGTAGAAATGCGTGCAACTCACCACAGTCCACCGGTCTGCTCGTGCGTCGTACGCTTCGATCACATCTGTCATTGTTCCGTCGCGATACCCACCAATAGCAAATAAAACGTCCTGTGGGATTTGCGGGTAGGCAATCCTTGGTGTAATGAATTCCTTGTACTTCTTCGTCAAACTTTTCACGTCGTCCAGGAATGTGAGCGTCTCCGAGATCACGGCTTTGCACGCCTTATTTCCCGTTACGTACGGGTGCTTTGACACCTGTTGAACAATTAAATGTGGACCTTATGGGCTTTTAGCAAGAGAGAAGTCATATTCCATTCCAGAGAAGACAAGAAATTCACACATAATTTGGTTGGGAACTCACCGAAATAGACTATGGTATATAAAGGTTAATACGTTTTTTGTATTATGTAACGACGCTCAAAAGCTCTTAACAAATGCGCAGGTTGTGGAGAGTAGCGAAAACAGAGTTAAATCGACCGTAGAGAATTGTATTGAAATATGTTTCAACAGAAATTTAAATACTTTAGTAAGGTTCGCATTTTGAGTTACATTCAAAAATGTAACTTATTTCTCGTCTTTCCCGTACGAGATGCAGTCTGCGACCAACAGATTCTTTTTGTATCAATAACTTTAATTAATCGTCAAAATTACGTAACATCTAAAGACATTTATGTTAATTAGTTGCTTGGGGTTTCAAGGGAGGCAACCTGCTACATTTTAATGGTTGGGTGGAAGGCCCGTCAACACAGCAGCGTGTGATTATGGGCTCGATATCTATTATGAGGCATTGCATGTTTCGACCTTATTTGGTCATCATCAGGTGGTTCTCTTTAAGTGTTCGAAACTAGTAGATAGGAATGCTAAATTGTGAAAACATTTGAAGCAGATAACATTTTCAGAATTTGTGCGATTGTTTCACAAATGTTCGTGAGAGGTGAGAGGCTGAAATCACAGGGCATTTGACCTAGAGTAGAAACATTTTTTCTCTGGGGTTGAAACGCATGCTGGAATGGAATAAAGGTTATCATAAGTTGTATGGCTGCTTCGTGAGGTTACGTTTAAAATATTAGAATGCTACAGCTGTCTATGAGGTAATTTATTCTCGGAGGTAGAACGAAATTTTCTTGCTGCATATTTCCGATATATTTTGTCCCTATGTGGTCAATCATCTGAAGATTTTCATGCTGAAGTGATCTCGGGTTGAATATATATTTCATCGGAGATGCGTGAAACTATTATAGAATCTAAAACACGCTTCTTATAGCAGTAGCATCTTTGGTTAAGTAGAAGACGTGATTTATCTGTTGGAGGATTTTCTTATTCAAGGTGAGTGGACGTTTGAAAGTAGTTAACGGTGAAATGCTGTAGTTGAACTGAAACCCGTAAACCGCTTAGATTATAATCGAAGATTGTAGCTCAAACGGACTGTCAAACATACAGACGATGAATAAAAGACTGTTATTAGCTCCAACCACATATCTGCATAAAATGACGAATATAATATTTATTTTGCACATTCACACACATATACGAGCGTGTTGCCAGCGACAATGACAGGAAGTTATTGTAACCATGGTTTCGAAGGCAATCTTTGGTTATCTTACGCAGAAAAGTTTGCACGGAATAAGGCATTCAAATCATTGTGTATTTTTTACGATGTTATTGCAAGATTTTAACCAGAAGTGGAGTATGTCAACAGATTCGTTAAAGTTCATCAGTATTATATCTAATGAACATCCGTTTAGACGTTTTCGATCTGGAACTGCGAACAGACAGACAGAGAAACTGGCTTACACCAGGCGATTAGTAAGGCTCACGATTTGACTTAATTACTTACTAACATGTGTGAATATGGAATTGAAAATGCGAACTTCACTTCCATAAACATCCATGATTTCAGGGGCATACTGACCTCCTCCTTGAGAAACGTTTCGTCAAGTAGTCCCAGTCTGACGCCCTTCAAAAGGCCCGCGATTTGACCTTTTCTGCTGTCCGGGTGGCGGTTGATCCACCGGAGAATGCACTCCCACACAACTTTCTCGTCCTTCACGTTCAGTTCCTCGGACTCGATTATCGCTTGCAGCTCCTCTACAGGCAGTTCCAGCAGTTCTTCGCTCTGCCGAGACAGTTCCACGAAGTGGCGCAGAACGAAGCTACGAGCGTGAGTCTTGAGGTCGGCGAAGGAGTGTAACCTACGACAGCGAGGGTACGTGGCTACTCAGAAACCATCTCCTTCGAGATCTCACACAATGAACACTAAAGCAAGAACTGGTTTCTCAACTATTTGCACAACACAGTATTTCGCCTGCAGTTTTTACCTTAACCGTTTGAAGCCCTTATGAACGAGACTGAGGGCAGACACGTGGAGAGGCAACGCTGAGAAACGCTCCGTTTAACCGTGGCAAAATAGAAAGTTGTCGACTCTGAAGGTTCCCAGGCAAAGCACGATCGTCCTCGTGATAAAATTATAGATTGAAACAAGGGCACGGTTTACGCAAGTGAAGAAGGCAGTGAGATGAGTAGTGTAGAATTTTGAATTATGTCATTAACCTTGGTGAAACAACAGTGTTAACTGTGTGTTTTAATCCAGTGAAACCTTGTGTAACCGGACTAAATGGGGGGAATATCGAGTCGAATGAGCCGATAAGTCGGACGAGCGAGGGAAAGGGGAACGTGGTCATTGAATTGAACGAATAAGTAGAGATTCGATACAGATTTTCCTCGTCGCCGAATGATGAGGGTGTGTCGCATGCACAAGCCGACGGCAAACGCTACTCGTGAGCGCTGTTCTATTGAGTCCCTGTACTAAAGAAGTGAATTTATCAGTTATTTTGTCCATCACATGAACTGGAAATTCTGGTGTGATTCTGCCGATGTCAGTTGATTAGTTTGCCATGTCGTCATAGACAAGAAGGAGTGAGGGTTCAGCTTCTACGGAAACCAGCGGGCTGTTTCTTTGTATTTGCCCTATAGTAACCAATTATCTAAATGTCTTGAAGTGTTCCTAATTCTCAGCAAAATCTGGGTGTGAGGTTAGATCAATATCTGTACCGCATGGACATCGCTTTAAACACTCTCGCCGGTTGAAATCGATCCCAACCGGTCTGGTTGAAAGTCGGTCGCTTAATGCGGGAATCATATAATCGAGGCTCGGTTAACAGAGGTTTTGCTGTATGCAGAAACATGTGGGGCTGAATCTTGATTTTGATGTTGGGAGGATTATGTAAGAAGCAAGAAATTCCGCAGAGAAAGAAAGAAAGAAAAAATGAAAGGAAGAGAGAGGAAGACAGATTTAAATATTAACCTGCAATTGGTCGCGATTAACGTTCCACATGGTGAAATGAGTCATCTGCTGATCATAATGACGATCAAAACATATACAGTTAAATAAAACTTTTAAATTACAGGGACGTTAATAATAACCCGCCAACATCCTTGACCTACAACACATTATAATTTGCCCATCCTCAGACAGAGGCTTTAATCTCCGACCCGGCAGTCTTGGCTGCTGTCTTTAGATAAGGTCATTCGCTTCAGCGACGAAGCCTGGCGAAACAGTAAATTTCAAATGAACACCAATTACCTTGCGACACGCAAGATGCCGAAACAGTTGTCGGCGTCTATCGTGTCCTTCGCGTCCATGAGGTAGTCGCAGCAGAGTTTAATAATGTCCGGAATACACAAGTAGTCAGCCGCCACAAGCAGCTTACATGCGTTGTCGGAGCGGATGTCCACCTCGCGAAAATAAACATAATCCAGTATCTGGGTCATCACGACAGAGCTAATTCCGTGGAGGAGAATATTAGTCGCCTCACCGGTGTGCAGTGTTGTCGTGAAGAGGGCCCTGAAACGTCACGAAGCAGTTGTCGATTTGAAGAAACGGTGACCAGAAAATTACAAGTCATGCGCATAAACTTTAAGTTTTTATGACTCACGTAGCCAAATAAAAGTATCCTTACGTCAATGTGGTGGATGAATTTTTGCTACCTGAATAATTAAAAGACTCCCAGAATGTGTACTAATGGGACCAGATTAACTGCGAGTGGGTGAAGACCGGGCGAAGGCCTAACATAATATAACTTGCAAATCGGAAAACAAGCAGCGAGCATTTGTACTATAAAATGGTCACCCCGTTTCTTACATACCCTTGACTCCTTCAAGAGATATCTGAGGTTATGACAACTCCTACAGAATTTTTAAAGCCACTGCAAATATTTCAACACACATCGCAGGCTGCACATTGCACCGATTGATCAGTTCGTAATATGAAATCTATTTGCTCTGTCAAAACATTTTCCAGACAATAAACAACTTAAAAGAAAAGCCGATTTTTCCATGTGACCTTTAAAAAGTGATCACCAACCTGCGAACAATTTCCTATTACAAACTAAGGGATTTGCAGTGCAAGACAAACGGAAAGATTTGATTGTCAGAAAACTGAAAGAGGGGCACATCTTGTAACAAGACGTCTGGAACGTCTTTTGGAAAACAGAAGCAATGACTCACGGTTATAATTCATTTCTCGTTTCAAGAACGGACCGCATTTTTATTTAAAACACAAGGAAATTTTCGTATGCACAAATTCTCGAACGATTATCTCCTAATAATAAAACATTTCTCACGTAAGTCTTTGTAAGAGTTTATTTCAGACAGAGCAACACACACCAGTTTTCAATGTTCCGGGGATTACCAACTTTCTTCTGGACTTTGTCAGTCGTCTTTGTGTATTAAAACCATGTCGTTTTGGAAACGGATTGTTTCTATTTCTCCCTCGAGATCGATTGACTGTCACCTTGGTTCAACCGCACTTAAAAATTGGTACAAAAAACCACGTACGTCTTCTGGGATGTTGCGTCGTGTTGTCTCTTGGGACGTTTCAGAGGCGCTTACTGCCTCCATCATCAAGGAAAGAAGGCAGTAAGTACGTCTGAAATGCCACTCAGTTTCTACGGCGCCGTGAGATTTCATGACAACGAACAAATAACAAAAGACATTCAGCCGTATAAAAATACAGGTTTCTGCATCAAAGGGATAAAACATTTCGCATACGAATTGACGTCTCTTGTGTCCTTAATTCACGTGTTAATCAACTACGTAAGTTAATAAACAAACCTGAAATATTCGCTGCTCATCGACAGAATCACTCTGTGTACTGGAAAGACGCCGCCGTCCTCCGACCTCAACACCGCGTCACACAAGAAGTTCCTCTCTCTTAGTTTATTCAGACGGACAAATGCTTCTGTGCGACTTTGGTTTAACTCCATCTCCTGAAACACAGTCCATCGCTGTTACAGGTTTTTCTTCATACTGACGCGTGTGCACATCAACTGAGAATGACTGAGAGGGAACACGATACTGAGAAGAATATCTGGTCTTGCGAGAGAGTTACTAATAAAGGAATTCTGAAAATTGAATAATATGGAGCTTTATAGATCTCTTCACTAATTAATAAATTGTAGGCTGTCAGATCAAGGATGATGAGATGGGCGGTTCATGTAGTACACATGGCAGAGACAAGTAGTACAACTTTTTAATCGGAAGACCTGAAAGGAAAAGGTCACTTGAGCGTCCTATGCGTTGCTGGGATAATATTAAAATGGATCTTAGAGGTGAAGTATGAACGTGTGAATTGACTTCATCTGTTTGTGGATGTGGCTTAGAGGCGGGGTCTTGTAAACACGGACATGAAACTTTATGTTTCATAAAAGGCGAGTCACTTGATTACCTGGGCTACTGTTAGATTCTAAAGCAGGGCTTCTGCTCCATGTTCTCAGTTTGTTTCATTGTTATAGAAATGCCTATTGAGATTAAATACAAAATGACAAAGCTCTAGATGTGACTAATCAAACTAATTAAGAATCTATATAGACGGCTTACGGAACACGAAATTTCAACACCGAACTAATGAAGCCCTCCATGAGACCCTGTCCTCTGCCAACAAAATCCAGTCCTCTTCAACTCCTATGTCCAATAGATCACGCCTGAGATTATCCTCCCATCTACGTATAGGTCTCCCCAACGTCCTCTTCTCCTCAGGCTTTCCAAAAATATATTTCGCCCCATCCATGCACTCCACATGTCCCGCCCATCTCACTCTTCTTGACTTAATCACCCAGAAGATGTGACTTATTTAGGCAATATTATGTCATGCAGCGTATTTGTCAGAACTCGCATAAATTTAAATCTTCTTATATATAACCTACGTAGACATTACATATAAAATATTAATGTAATATATAAAGTCTTAGATGCCTCTACTATGAGAATCGATTTTAAAGTAATTACGACAAAATTTGCAATAGAATGTATGTGACCTTTGATGCAGGACCAGGCAGTGAAATAAATTTTGGAAAAAGAATGCTACGCTTTTTCATAAGTATAAACATTTTGAGTTCTTCTCTCTCTGTAGAACTAAAAGTGCTAAAGGGCTTACGTGATTAAGAAATTTCCTGCCTAAGTTACACATGTATATGAACTATGAGCACATAATGTAATTTAAATTTATCAAACGAACGGGAGAATTACAGTTGGGAACAGTTACAAAGGCTCTAATTTGTTCTGCGGCGTGCGTAGATCAGGCCTACATCACGCTACTCACACACTGTAATGAGGAAGATATTCTACGAAAAGTCGATTGAAGCTCGGCTCGTCAAAGAATAGCCCACTTCCTTTACTCAACCACAAGTGTCATTATCGTGTTGAAACATCCTGCCACCGGGTTCTATCCTGAGCCAGCTGCATCTAGTTCACTCGATTGAGACCCATCTCCTTAAGATTCATTTTAATATTATCCTCCCATCTACGACTAGGCCCCCCAACCAATAACTTGTAAACAACACTCCACTGCCCACTTCTTCCTAACAACATCGGGTGAGGAGCTCGTCATTCACTTTTCTCTATTATCTGTCCCACTCCCATTTTGGGTTCAAATATCTTCCTCAACACTCTGTTCTCAGAGGCCCTCAGTCTATGTTCCCCCCTCAAAGTGAAAGACCACGTTTTGCACCCATAAATACTTTGCACTAAATAACAGCAAAGATTTCCCGGATTTAATCTGCTGATGTGGGGAGATAATGAGAGGGAGATTCGTCGATAATTAGGCTTGTAAACCCGAAATAAAAATTCTTGATAGTTGCCTGAAACGCGTTCATAATGTCGATGTATCAAGAGATGTAAAGTGTTAGAACTGTTATTCAGAATACGTATATAACCCACTTCTTAGCATGCATATATTTTAATTAAGTTTCTAGGCTACTTATCACGTTTTATCCCTTAAAAATGATAATTGCCTACTGGAATATTATTTCACTATCAATGATGCCGTGAACAAACAGGAGACAATCTAATATTACTCGAAATCGTGTTAAAAGACGACAAGCCTAAATCTCTTACACGACCTGAGAAAAATGCTGTTGAAGAAACTTAAATGTGATGAACAATAATAATGATAAATAGGATTCCCTTACCTCAAACTTTGATCAAGAGGAAGAGACTACGATGTCCACCGCCAATGATCAGTTTAATAAAAAATAAAATGGAGAGAGTGGAATGCAGTTTCACAGACTTCTTAATAATTCTTATATAAGAAAAGAACTTGTGATGTTCTAAATGGTTTTAACAGCACGAAATTGTCTGCTCTACGACGCACTTTTTCTACAACCGACTCACAGCTGAGCTCTTTCCCCAATGACGAAAGCTGATTGTTGACGGCAATATATACTAATGCAACAATGCCGACGAAAATTGTGACGTAACAATTAGTTTCTTAGGTAACATAACAATGCACGCATGAGTTCATATAAAAGCTGACCATTATTGTTCAAGGCAATAATGAAACACAACAATGCCGAGTAAACAGATGACGTAACGATTAGTTTCTTAAGTAATATAACAATAGACACAAGAGTTCACATAAAAGCTGCTCATTGTTGCTGACTGCAATAATGTAACACAACAATGCCGAATAAACAGATGTAACAATTAGTTTCTTTGGTAGCAACAATGCACGCAGTAGTTCATATAAAACTGGTCATTGTTGTTGCCGGCATTAATGTAACACAACAATTCCTAGTAAACAGATGACGTAACAATTAGTTTCTTAAGTAATATAACAATAGACACAAGAGTTCAAATAAAAGCTGCTCATTTTTGCTGACTGCAATAATGTAACACAACAATGCCGAGTAAACAGATGACGTAACGATTAGTTTCTTAGGTAACATAACAATTCACACAAGAGTTCATATAAATGCTGACCATTGTTGTCGATCCATATTTATACATTGTTGATATGGATCTTAAACAATTTCGTTACGCTTTTTTGCCGAATGACCCTTCCACATAGACGTATTTACGTCAAGAAAGTTGACAGTGGAACCACGGTTCAGGAGAACTTGACGTAAATACGTCTCTGTATTTTAATTACTACAGCAACGCGCTCCGTTCGGAGCGATTTTTCTAAAATTGGTCAAATGTTTAAAATGCAAGCAACCCACCTAAAGGGGGCTTTGTTGCGTTTCAAAATCCTGTGTAAGAAACTAAACTAACTCTCCGAATGGAGGGTTAAAACACTTGTCCAGCCGCGTTTTAAAATATTGTGTAAGAAAAGAAACTAACACCCAGAATGGAGGGTTAAAATACTTGGTCAAGTGTTTAAAAAGCAACAAAACCTCCTTCGAGGGGGTTGGTTGCGTTTTAAAATTTTGAGTAAGACGCTAAACTAACATCCTTCGGGGGGTTTAGTTTAGTTTAACCCTCGAGTAAGAAACCAAAATAACCCCCCCCACCCGAATGGGAGGTTAAAACACTTCACCAACCCCCTTCGGTGCGACTGGTCAAATATAATGAAATCCAGACAATTTTAAGTAAGGAAGAGATGCCACAACAGGGGAAGGAATCCATAATTATTCCTATTCATAAGAAGGGGGACGAGACTGAGTGTGGTAATTACTGAGGAATTTCGCTGCTGTCAACTTCATACAAAATTCTATCAAACATTCTTTTGGCAAGATCAACTCCATATGCGAATGAAATTATTGGGGATCATCAGTGTGGGTTCAGACGAAACAGATCAACGATTGATCAGATCTTTTGCATTCGTCAGATACTAGAGAATGCTCTTTAACTTTGCGCTAGAATATGCCATCAGCTATTGACATTTGCTGATGATGTTAATTTATTGGGGGACGATATGAGTACAATAAAGAGGAACGCAGAAGTTTCACTAGAGGCTAGTAGACAGGTGGGCTAGAAGTAAATTCAGAAAAAACTAAGTACATGTTAGTATCTCGTCATCAGCAGACAGGTGGGCAGAATTATCTTAGGGTGGCTAGTAAATACTTTGAAAGTGTGACAAAGTCCAAATATCTGGGAACAACAATAACATCAAAATTATATTCCTGGGAAAATTACAAGGTGATTTATAATGTATATATATGACTGATATAAAGAGACAGAAAGAAAGATGCAATTGAGGAGAAATGAATGTAAACATTCTATTGTAGATTTTATAAGTTCGAAGCAGTTGATATTATTTCGTTATGTATAAGAGAGGTCTGATGACAAGCTCCTAAGATGCTACATTTTCAGGGGCATAGGTTGGTAGGTCTAGGCTGCATCTAAGTTACAGCATCAGCCCTAAGGTGCTCTGGTTACGTGCTTAAGTTGGCCTCGTCTGTGTCCTTGGATGGTTACGAGTTCAGTGGCGGATGTTTCTTTTGACTGGGCTTCGTTCGTAGCTGCAACTTCTCTGTTTGGCGAGTCTGTGCTGCTCCAGATATTTTTAATTGTTCTTTTTGCATCAATACATTTATCAGGAAGTACTTCCCTAAATTCAAGAAAATGAATTTATTATTAGAATTAGGAATAGCATCGTTAAGGAAAAGTGAATGTGAGAATTTATAAGATCCGAGAACATAAAATGGACGAACGCGTGTTGTCAGTCTTCGTGAGGTTACGAGATTGTTCCTGAAGAAGGGCGTACCAAAAAGACTTGGATGCCAGGAGAGTGGAAAACCAATGTGGTAATTGTATGGAAATAATTTCATTGTTAAAGCGTGGAGCACCGGCCACGCTCCTTCCAACGACCTGTTCGGGGCCATCGGTTGCTTGGAGACAGCATCGTCCGAAGGAGGCCGCTTTCCCGCGGGCATACGTTGGTAGGGCTGGGCGCGGGTGCGTCCTCAGCTAGGTAATTTAAGAAAATAATTGAAATCGTTCAATAAGCGCACAAAACTAAACAATAACTAACTGGATGGCTTACGGAACCCGAAGGTTCATCACCGAACTAACCAAAGCCCTCCACCGGACTCTGTCCTGGGCCAACAAAATCCAGTCTCCTTCAACTCCT